CGTGTATGAGAACAACAAATAGAGAAAGTTGAGGTAATTATTTATTTTTATTTTTTTGACTTTCCAACAAATATAAATACTAGTCACCAATTTTCAATGAAGAGAACTCGTACTTAGTGTTAGATGCACTTCCAAGAGGACACTCGACAATTGAGATGATGATTTTACAAATTCTGAAACTTTCTAGGGTGTTTCTATAATTTTTAGAACTTTTAGGGTGATATTCCTGTAATTTTTAGAATTTGTTGGGATGTTTTTGCAATACTGGAACTTCTGGATAATATTTCTGTAATTTAGTAGAACTTCTGGGGTGATTCTGTAATTTTATGGATCCTCTAAGGATGTTTTTGTGATTCTAAAACTTCTGGGGGTTGATTATGTAATTTCAAAATTTTGGCAGTGTATCTTCTTCACCTGAACAATGCCCTAGCTACCCAGAGAAAATTCCAACAGTGACGGCGATGAACAGAGAAAATTCTGACAATAAATCCAGACTCGCGAAGGATGGTGACTGACGATGAACAGTAGTCAATCTTCTCCTTCTTTACTGCCCCTATAGGCTGAAATCTTAAGGGCCAACCTCAGGGACGGCACAAGAAGAGAACAACGGCGTTGATGATGATGGCACCAAGGATGACGTGTCGACGACGAAGACACAATTGGCAATGATGAAGTCGAATACAACGATTGCTATGGGGAATAATTTCAAATTTGATTTTTTTTCTGGAATGAGAACGATGAACAGTAATGATTTGAAATTTTTTTTTCCTGTTTCTGGGGAAAAGAACCTTCAGAATAATGAGCCGGTGATCAGTAAGACTAATGAAGGAATATAAATTACATTAAGTAATTTATGGTAACCACGACAAAGATGATGATGAACAGTGGCCACGAAGACGACGCAAAAGATTTTTTTTTTTTTTTGAATCAAAGTTGAGCTCTGATACCAAATTGATGTAGATCGTATTATAAAAGAATTAAGGATGAGAAAGGAATAAGAAAATGATGAGAAAATAAGAAGAAATGGATGAGAATAGAGAGAGAATTTTAGGAAGAAGTAATATCAAGATTCAATATCAATAATCAATAATCAAAGTCTACTAAAACAATTACCATATCCCCTATATATACAAGGAGAACACAAATCATAAAAGAACTCTAAAAAAAATAAAAAGTCATAATGATAACTAAACCCCTAAAAAATAAAATAATAAATAATTTTTAATTCTTACGTCTATACCTACTATAACGAAATATAATCCGATTCCTATTATGGACCGTCCATAACATCATACTAGAATTTGATCCAATCTGCTTTAGTGTGATAATGACAGTCTGCATCCATGTTCCTCCTTACTGTTGAGTAAGCAGATTTTGTGCTGAATGTGCCAAAAGTTGTAGGAATCCACGCCATATAGTCTTCCATCTGAAAGGGGACAATTTGATCTTCATGATTGTCATAAGGAATAGTTTGTCATTTAGATAAGTTTATTTATTTATTTATTCAATGCCTAAGGTGCATGTTGCCTATGGGCATTGATTAGTGCACGGGTCTATATGACCTTGCTCCAAAAGGAGAAATAACTGTGGGTCTCATCAAACTTCAAACAGTATGGGTCACTTAAATGGTAAGACAGCGTATATATAAGTTATATTTGGGATGACTTATAAAATTTAAAAAATACTTTTTAAATAAATATTTTTCAAAAATATTTTATAAAAAAATATTTTCATTAAATAAACACCATTTCGATTTTCAAGTAAACAAATACTCAAATAAAAAATATTTTATCAAAAAGTGCATTTGAATTATCAATTAAAAAAACACTTATTTATGTCTCAATTTTTAATATATTTCTAAACTATCTACTAAAAATTGAGTGGCAGTGGGCGACAGCAGTAATAGACAGCGATGATAGTGGGTGGTGGAAAGACAACTATGGGTGGTTGTGGTGGTGGTGACAATGGTGGGTAGTGGTGGTTGTATGGGCGACGGTGATGGGTAGTGGGTAGTGGTGGTGGGCAGTCGCGACGATGGTGGAATGATAGTGATGGTAATAATAAATATAAGAATAAGAAATATTTTGTGGAGAAGTGATTTTAAGGAAATATACGGTTTTTTTTTTTACTTTTACTTATTTAAGTGGTAATACTACTTTTGACTTATAAAGAAGTAATTAAAATAAGTTATTCTAAACATTGGTTCTTTTTTTTCAAAACTTACGGGAAGTAAGAGGTTCTAAAAACATTTTTTTTAAGTTATTACAAACACTCTCATAAAACTCTTTCAATCTTATGTACATGTTTTTTTTTTCTTTCTCGTTTTGAGATGATATAGGTGCATGTTTATTTCATAATTTAACAACTTCTCTAAGAATTACAAGTGATTGCCCTTTAATTTTAATCTCCACTTTCGAAGAGCAAAATCTTTTTTCTTTTTATGAACCTCGATGGTACGAGGGAGGATTTATTGAAATTCAAAAATAAATACACCTAATGGGGGAACTTATGATCCTTACCCCTAAATGCATCTAGTTACATTTGAACATAATGTATAAAAGGAAGAGCAAAATGTTTTAAACCTAGGGTTCGTCCACGCTTCAAGCATGTAGTTTATGATTCATTTGCTACTGTAAATTTTTTTATTGGAATATCAATTTTTGTTTTGAGTGTTCACAGTTGACAAATAAGATTTAATTACTCTTTTTGCATCAATAAATATATCAATAATTGTCGTTAGACCTTTGAACTTATGATCCTTACCCCTAGGGCTTTCCTCGGTTGCAACAAGAGGTGGTACACCTTGTCACACCGGACTTTTAGCTAATTGACAAGAATCTCTCCAATACTCCCTAATTAGCTAATTCCTCAGGATTATTGATGATGTTTGTTAAGGTTTTCCTCTTTGGTTTTTTCAATCTTCTGATGATTAGCAATCACTTCGCCAAGCTCGGTTTGGGGTGCTAAATTCCTTAATTCTGCTCAACCTTACCAACAGGCCGGCACTGAATCCTTAGACCGACCTCTTTTAGCTCGGTCTATTCTTGTTGAGAAGCATTTAGCGTACATGTTGAAATCATTACTCTGGATACATTCCCCATAATATCTTTTCCCTTCAAATATCATTTGATTTGTTGAAATACAATAAAAATNATGTTGAAATCATTACTCTGGATACATTCCCCATAATATCTTTTCCCTTCAAATATCATTTGATTTGTTGAAATACAATAAAAATTAAATTGACTATTTTCTTCTTTGACTAACTTAAGGATCGAATGGTTGACCTTGGAACTCACTCGGTCTTCGATTTTGATTTTTCAGGTGAAAACCATCCCAACTAAATATATGCATAGGCACAACAAATTTTTGGCATCAATAATTTTGAGTTTTAACTAAATCTTATGAAGGTCTAATGTGACATGGCGTCAAGGGCATCTTTCTAGTGTATTGATAGATACATTGTTCATAACGTCAAACAAGAAGAAAACATTTCTCATGCACAATATGGGTTTGACTACGGTAAGGGTATAAAAATATCCATTAATTCCTATAAATATCATTATCCTAACGGTAACGGTATAAAAATGAGAAAATTATTAATAAGTATTATTTTTTTCAATAATATCCATTAAATTCTATCATTTTTGTTTTATATAAATGAAATCCTATTTTTAATATTTTATTTCAATTAAGTACTAATGCTATTATATTTCAATATTATCCTTATTTTTTAGTTACCAAAGTTCTTTCATTCTTTTGCATTCTTAAAATCAATTAATAGAATATTGCAGATTCTACATCAATATTAATTTAAACTAATTCTTACCAAAATCATATTCTATTAATTTATATTGGATTTAAAATAATTAAATTAGGGATTTATTTTAGTTGTTGTGTTTGAATCAACAATGACATTAAAATGGAATTAATCAACTAATATTATCGATGAAGTTTTTTTAACCTTTCTTATTTTATTAAATAATCGAAAAATATTGTCTCGAGATTTAAGATTAGGTATCCTAATGAGAAAAGAAAATAAGAAAATGTGAGCTTTCTTTGGGTCCTATAATGAAGTTTAGGTTATTTGAGTTTTTTTTTATGGGGTTTCCATCTCAATTTTGTAAGCAAGGATTTTTTGTCCTCTTAATTGGTTTTAAGAATGCCAAAGAACGAAAGAGTTTTGATAACTAAAAGGTAAGAATAAAATTAGAATATAATGAAATTTAAGATTTAATTGAAATAAAATATCAAGAACAGGACTTCATTGATATTAAACAAAAATGATAGGACTTAATAAATTTTTGTGCTGAAAAGTAATAATTATTGATAATCTTTCTTATAAAAATATAATTTTTAGGAGTTATCTGAAGAGAATAATAATTGAGGGTTTCTGGTTTAACTATAAAAATTTTATTTGATTTCTACTCGGTCACATCAAAGTACGGTTCAAGCATTTTAAAATTACAACTCAATGGAATTTGAAAATTTTTTGGGCCAAGCCTAGAAATGATGGGATCGATCTTCAGAAACGACACCAACCCAACTGTTTAAGATTGATCCTAATTAGCCTACTTGAATCATAAATTAACGATTGGCAGGGAACAAGTCACAAACTTGGAATTTAAGCAAGTATCAGGTCGAAGTCCTTCACCCCAGAAATACGATTTTAAATCTACTAGGATATGCCTTCCTATGATTCATAGTTTTAGTGAGAAGGTTACTGTCCCTATCAAAAAGGAACTCTCTCTATGCATGGCCCTAACCCGGAGAGGATTAATAATGAGGCAGTTCAAGAACTATTACCAACATGTCAAATAAATATCATCAAACAACAACTCATTCTAACAATTACACATCTTCCTTCATTATTATTGTGAATACAGTTCAGATTAACTGAATGTCATGGTTCATACTAAATTGAAAAAGATGAAAAAAAGAAAGAAAGAAAAAAGCTTCTAGGAAGAGCTTAATCATGAGGATCAAAAGGAAACTTGAACTTAGGCTTTTGGTGGTGCAAGACCTGCCTTGAGCTTCTGAATAGTTGCAACGTCGGTTTTAAAAGACTTGGCAAGAATGTCATCTTCGATCCCAGTGGCAAACAGAGTTGTAGGAAGTGACGCAGTCCCAGCACTTGCACTACCAAAGGCAGAGATAGCAGTTGTCGGTTCAGTGGCATTGGCATTGTATTGGTAGTGAACTAGTCCCTTCGGGAACACAAAAATGTCCCCCAATTGAAGTGTTTGAGTGTAGAGTTTATTAGTCGTGTCAACAAATCCGACCTCAAGACTACCTTCCACAACAAACAGTAGCTCAGCTGCACGAGGATGAGTGTGAGGTGGGTTAACGCCGCCTGCAGGGTACTGGAGAACGGCCAGGGAGACGCTCTGGCCGTTGAGAGCTGGGAATTCCGCCAAGCTAGCTTTTGTCACCTTAAAGGTTGGTGGGGGTTGATTAAATATTCCGCGCATTCCAGTGAAGGTGAAGAAACTCCCATTAACTCCATTAAGGTTGGATGGGAGGATGAAATCAGATAAGATGTCTGGATCACTTGCTTGGACCATCCACGAAGTGGCAGAGATAGCTACAAGGAAAACAAGGACATGTTTTATAAAGATTGAGGCCATTGTCAATCGATAAATGATGGGACTAGATATAAGTTTAGTGGATGTTTAGGATGATTAATTGGCTTAGTTTTCTTATCAATTTATAATGTTTGGTTGTTAAGCTTTGTTCCCCTAATGAGCCAATCCACAGATTGAGTGGCCGGCTGGGGCTTGATGTCCACAAAGCTTGGTCCTGTTTTTTATATTTGGCAGTTTCAAAACCAGTTGAAAAGAGCTCTCAATGCTTCGTTATTATCATAACATCTTCGTGAAATCAGCCATGAAGAAGGTGGGTTTTCAGAATTAAAAGAACAACAAAGTTTGATCTTAAAATCTTAGTAATATCTTTCTACTCTTTGCCATTTCTTACCCAGAAAGCTATGGATGCATCACCGATCCTGTGGTCTCAAGCAAAATCATGGCCATGAAGGGAGCCATCTATATATCTTAATAAACAGAGATGACTATTATATTCCTTACGAGAATCATGATGTTAATTGAGTCATGTTTTTTATTTTATTTTTTTCATTTGATAATTAGTTCATCCTAACTTAACCTATTTAATTTAGTTTTTCATAAGATCTAGAATTAACCCAATTCATTGATTAATTGTGTTCTAAGCAGATTGACATGCATGAAAAAATATATGTAAGACCCACCACCCACCATAAGGCTTTTCGTAAACTAAAAACTTCTTCGATTTAGAAATTGGAAAAAATAAAATAGAAAATCCTTTCAATTCTACACAAATTAATACAACATAGGATTAAAAAATATTAAAATTTTAGACACTCTTTATATTATACCAATTAAAAAGATTTATCGTGTCAAAACAATCTACCCATATGATTCATATATGTGCAATGTGATATCAAATCCACATTTTTTTAGTTTCATCATTGTGAAACACACAATAGGAAAGGATAGCACATTGCTGTATCTGTCTCATTTTCTACATCTTTCACAAGCCAAATGACAAAAAATATCGAACACCTGCAATAACAAGAGAGACAGTGTAGTTCCCAAAGGCAATTGTCATATGTATTGTGGATAGGTTCCCAAAAAATATCGAACACCTGCAATAATGAACAATGTATCTATAGAAATTTAAATTTGAGAAGATGCATATGTATTAACCTTGTTATCATCAAATAAAAGTCTGATAGGTTAACACTAAGTAAATAAATTCGAATGAAATTTATGGATAGGTAAAATTCATATAAAAATATCATATATTAAATTAAGAAAAAAAGACTTGGGTGAGTCTCCAATTCCACATATTTTATCTAGTTCTATCAATCGTGTCGAGTGAGACAGATTCATATCTAATTTTAGAGCGTTCATGTCATAATACAGTTCACTCATACTTTATTTGTTTATTAATTTGTGTCTAATAAATCGTGTCATATCGGGTTCGTGTCGTGTCTAAATCGTGTATAAATAATATATACACAAGTCGTATTATATATTTTTTCTGATTAACTTCACTTATACTTAATTTTTTTATTAATCATGTCGCTTCAGGTCTACTCATTTACTAAATGAGTAACTTAAAAAAGACTCAAACTTTTTAATTTTATATCTTGTTTATGTCGTGTTAACGAGTCGTATTTTGACTCCACTAATATTATTGAACTTGAATCTGAGTTTTTTTTTTACTTATTATTTCATCATAAATAACTCGTCATCCGTTTTGTCATCAACTATTTCATTTTTACTCAGAATAATACTAGATTCATCGAAAATGGGATTAGAATAAATGACATAGTTCAAATATTGTGATGCCTTAAGTAAGCTTCTTAATGCACCAATATTTTCATCCGTTTATTCAAATTTGAATACGGATATGGATATATATAAATCTGATCGGAAATAAATTTGATACGGTTAATATATACATATATATGTGTGTGTGTGTGTTGGTTTTTATTACATATATTATATATATTTATATATAATAAACACGTACATAAATCTATATTGACTAACAATAACTTGTGTCTAAATATACGGTACAATGTGAATGGTTTTAAAAGGGATATTATTGGCGTTGGATGAGTCTACTTGAGACCGTTAGATAAGCTTATTGAAGCATACCCTATTTTATATTATAGATTATTTGTATTTGATCTAAAAAAAATTATTTGTTAAAATTTTAGTGAAATACCGTTATGGATCATATCATGAAATTGAACGGGGATGTTCGATTATATAATCAAATTCATATATGAATTAATATTTTTCTATCCATTAAGTAGACAGATTGGAATCAATAATGAATTTTGTAATCGAATTTGGATTTGAATGGACTCAGATTCGATCCGGATCGGATCCGTAGACAAGTAGCCTTAAGTACTATTTTGATTTAGTAAATAATTGGGACAATTACACCTAAACTCCTTAAGGTTTATCACTTAATCACCTAAACTTTTGATATTTAAAATATTATATATAAACCCCCTAAGGTTTGTATGTGTATAACACATAGACCTCTGTCATCAATGTCTGTTAGTATATCTGTTAATAAATTATTTTCAAACCCCTAAAATTTAAAATATGTAATACTTAGACCCCTTAAGTTTAAAATAATATACTTAAAATAAAAATATTTCAATTAAAGATAGAATATCAAATATTTAAAATTTTATAACTAAAATTCATGTTATATTATTTCATTTATTAAAATAATATAAAATTTTAATTTTTTCCTAAAAAATTATAATTAGTATTATTGATACCAAAATTTGGATAACATTCACTTCAGTTGCATGTTCCATTATCAAGTATCTTAGACTATTGGACTGTTCACTTGGGTCAATTTTTTTATCATCAATTACAAACATATGAAATAAGCCTAATCAACATATTTGCATCTTCCATTTTTTCATCCAATGACATAAAACTCAAGGTGGTCAAATTATAATGGACACAATATATTTTATCTTTAATTGGGATAATTTAGTCGTTTAATAAATTTCGTTAGTTCTGTAATTAATAAAGGGTTTAAGTATAACATTTAAAACTTAAGAGGTTTAAGTGTTATATGCTTATAAATTTTAAGGAGTTTGGATATAATTTACTAATAGAGATATTAATAGTAAGGGGTGTTCAAATTTTTAATTACTCGCAAATTCTGACATTACCTCTATCATACTCAACTCTATTGATCGGCTACCCAAAAGAATTGGGTAGGCCAACTAAAGATTTTTTGGTATTTCACAAAAAATCAAGTAAAAATGTAAAATACCTACAAAAAAATTTCGTATTATTACACTACCCTACCCATCACATATATATTAATCACTAAAAATTAAAATCTAGAAATTCTAATGTTTTATTGATGTTTACGGCTTTTTTATATATGATATATTGATATTTATGATTTTTTTTGTATTTTATTATAATTGTTTATGTATTATCGAATTTATTGTGTTTTATGTAGTGTTATTGGTTTATTGTGTTAGTTAATTAGTACAGGTTATTTAATTAAATTGTTAAAATAATCTAAAAATTAATAACTAAAAAATATGTGTTCACCCGATTTCTTTCCCTACTTCCTATCCAATTATTTTAGACGAAATTTGGATATGAATAATACACTTAATCGGGTATGATAGGCTAATTAAAAATTATTCTGCAATGTATCGGGTAAGAAGATGAAATATTATAATTCCTACCTGTAGGAATGTGTGAAGACCCTTAATTGACGACAAAAGTTTAAGTGTTACATGCGTATAAACTTTAGAGGGTCTGTATGTAATATTTTAAAGGATTAATGACATTAAATGTCCCAAAAGTATGAAGTTTGTCTCATTTTGGTCCTCAATATTTCAATTACATCGTTTTGATCCCTAAAATATTGAATATGTTTCTATATGGTCTTTTATACAGACAACGTCCATATTGCTAACAATTTTTTTATTATAAATTTGTCACGTAATACCTAAATATTAACAAAAAATAATTTTGATAACTCTTAAATAAAATTTGGATACCTCTTAACAAAAAATATGTAATATGTGTAACTTTTGATTAAAATTTAGATAATTTATTATCAAAACTGTGTAATTTGTGTAACTATTTAACCAAAATTTGAGTAAAAATTTGGTCAAAAATTATCTAAATTATTTTTTTGTTTATTTTTAAGTATTACGTGACAAGTTTATGATAAAAATTTGTTTAGTAATCTAGACGTTGTCTACTTAAGAGACTATATAAAAACATCTAGATAATAAAATAACTTACAATTCAAATCTCAAAAGATAAGGAAAATAACTTTTGTTATTTGCGGTTAAAATTCTTTTAGAGTTTACTTTAAAGTTAATGTAACGACTAATATAAACACCCTAAATTTAATAGGAACAATAGCTCTCTAAGAGTGTATTTAAAGTGACTTTTTAAAAATATTTTAAGAATTATTTTTCATAAATACTTTTAAAAAAATAGAATTTGAAACCACCTCACCACTACCTCTACTACCACCACCCCCACCACCATTGCCGCCGCCATCACCACCACCACTCTCACCGCCGTCATTGCCACCACCCCATGGCCACGACCGTCACCACCACCACCGCCGCCGCAGCCACCACCACCACCACCATCATTGTCATCGTTATCGCCGCTACCACCCTTACCCTCGCCTTCGTTGTCGCCACCCTCGCCTCCACCATCGCCACCATCGTCATTGTCATCCACTACAACTATCACCGTCTCCTACCACTACCATTGTCGCCCACCGTCTCTCACTCCCACTACAAATTGATGCTTAAATTTTTTTTATATTTTATTTATGTTTGTAATTTAATTTTGGATATAAACACAAATATGTTTATTGTTATCATTTTTTATTACTCTGTGCCTTCAGGTACAGAAAATAACTAGTATTCAATATTTTAGAGATTAAAATAATGTAATTGAAATATTAAAAATTAAAATAAAATAAATTTTATATTTTGAGGACCTCTATTGTAATTAATCCTATTTTAAATATAAAAAAATTAGATGATTAAGGAACAAATATCCTAAATAATTTTGAATATAAGTTTTGAATATTGATACTCTCTCCCTCTGTCAAATCCCCCCCCGATATTTCCACACGTTTTTCTCAACGAATCGTTCCAACATGGACCCTATTGGCAGCGCCGCCCGCAACCGGGATCGGAAAACTCCCTCCGCCGATCGATTTCTTGGCATTTTCACTCAGTCGCAACCGGACATTGACGTCTCCGTCTCCGTCTCCACCACCGACGAACTCAACGAGGACGACGTCTTTTGGACCGGCGACTTCGCCGAATCGAACCATCACTCTTCTCCTTCCTCCTCCACCAATTCCAACCACCATCGCCACCAACACATCAAGAACTTTGGCATCTTGGCTGCATTGCCGGAGACCGAGCGAGCAGTGTTCAACCACAAGGCCTCAGTCTCCCCCTCTTCCTCGTCGTCTTCCACCTCATCGAGTAGATTAATTCCGACAATTCCGAAAAGGCCTCCTTTAGATCGGCAAAGCTCTTTGAGATTTCAATCGGCGCCGGTGAATGTGCCGGTGACGTCGGAGGCAATGTTGAGGAATCGAAGGGTTCGTGAATTTGACGACATTGCCGACGACGTTGATGATAATAACGGTGATATGTTGCCGCCACACGAGGTGGTTGGGTCGAGGCAATCGCCGATGTTGGCTTGTTCGGTGTTGGAGGGCGTTGGGAGGACGCTGAAAGGGAGAGATATGCGGCAGGTCCGGAATGCCATTTGGCGACAGACAGGTTTTCTTGATTGATAATCGATAATAGTCTTCTATATTGTTGTTCAATTTTTATGTTAGCCAGAAATTGTTATTTTTAGTATTGACTATATTTGAAATTCTAAGTGTTGTGTGTTTTAGGATGGTCAATTTAGCGTATCATGATTCAAATTGATCTAGTTTTACCACGTCTTTCCTTAATTTGAAGTGTGATATCCAAATGATTTATGCAATTCTGCCAATGCAACAATTTGAATTGGGAGATCAAGACCAATTGTAAGTGTTTTGTGTTTTAGAGGAAAATGCTTAATTAGTGAAAATATAAACAGAATTGACCATTGTTCTTCGAGAGGGTGGGAATGTACCACATCAGAGCGGGAAAAGGGGTCTTATTAGTGGTTCATTTAAGGTTAGCTGATAGTTTCAGTTTATCTGACTACATTTTAATCCTGGGGTGATATAATATTTGCTATAGCTACATGCCTAGTTATGAATATGAATTTCATTGAAGATGTTGAGGAAATGAAAGTGAAAGCCATGGTTACCATATTCATATTGCAGAAGCTAGAGTAAACACACAGTTGTCATGGTTGGTCGATTTCGGTTTAAGTGATTTGAAAAGGTCCATTTGGCTGCAAACAAGTTGATATTGAAAAAACCTACCATGGGAAGGAATAATAAAAGACAAAAAGGAAAAAGGGGCAAAAACTAAAAAATGATAGAAGTGAAAATTGATGGTGAAAAAGGTTCAAAGGAATGCAATCAGCTAGATGAAGCTTGTGTCAGATATAGCAGACTTCTAGCCATTTTTGTTTCAGTTGCCCTTCTCTTACAAAGTTATTCACATTGAATGGGTTAATTTAGGTCGCTCCTAGAGAAATGGATTCCTTACTTGGGATTGCTTTTGGTGGCTTACATAAAGGAAGTGGACCCACAGCTCGTGATAATAGTGGTGCCTGGCTTTGGTATGGTGATTTAGTTTGAAAGGAAGGCTAGAATTTTGGAGCCTGGCAAAATGATGTAGAGGATTTGTGGTGCAAGTGCACATCTGCCCTCTCCTTGGACTTCTATGACTGAGGGTTTGGAATGGATGCCACAGAGTTCAACTTTCAGTGGCTGAAAAGTGGGTAATCTGAAATCTAGTATAGATGGTTGCGTTCTGGGGGACCCCCCTTGGCATTGGTGTATATATAGGGATAGTCTGTTTGTCTGGTTTTCCAGTCTGTAGACACACGAGAAACTCTTGAAGTAGCAAATCTATCTCTTTCATCTTAAGGACTTTGGGAAGATTCTGCAATGGAATTCGGCATCATTTGATGGAGGGAGATTCTGAGTTTGTAGTGCTTTGGTGAGATCAGAGTCTATAGGTTTGGTGCAATTCTTGATGCAAAGATCTTACATTATTTTTGCACTTCAGAGGCAGTGACGCCTCAGTTTTTAATTAGCTAGTGAGATATTGGAAATTTAGCGATAATACATGGGGCTTCTGCTCTGGATAGTTTAAGAGGTTAGTTCTTTAGTCAGGATTTACTGGAGTGGTCTGTAGGGGTGCTGGTCAAGTTTTCACATTTTGTTTTTATTGTTCTTCTTACTCTTGTTTGATGAGTTGTGGAGTTTCACTTCGGGGGGTTTCCTCAACTTTCCCACTCTGAAGATTTTTTTCTTATCTAGACCACATTGCTACTTCTCGTGGTCATCAGGATAGTTCCAAGTGTTAAACTTCAAACCATTTTTGTCCCTGAGGGAGTGATTTTAGATGAGAATCGCTCTGTTCAGTGGAATCAAATGCCTTTTAGATGGGTCACTGCTGACAATTTAAGCCAACCATGCAATCCTCCAATGTATTTGAGCTAAAACTTAAGAGTGTAGGTTGCTGTAGTGGAGTTATGAAAAAGTTGGGAAAGTACCTCAGATGATGTCAAATAAATTAACCATTTGATAATAAACCACGTGCTTGTCCCTGAAACATATAGTATGGTGCAAATTGCTTGCTAGACCAAGTCGTGCTGACACGTCTCGTTTAGTTTCATGCCCACCCGTGCTTTTTGGTGGACCCAGAGCCCAGAACGTGTTCTGTGCCAGGCTCTAATAAGCCGGAAGGGTATGCCCAACACAGTACCGGGTTATGACCATGCCTGGGCCGACATGGCTAGTTCTGTGCTGTGCAGTACTAGGCCATAGCCAAGTGAGCAGTGACCAAGCCTGCCCTGCCCATTTTATGCTCTACTTGCTGCTCGTTTCTGTGTTTACAATACATTTAAAAGGCAAGGAAACTTGTTTCTTGTCTGTTGAACGCAGCCTTTAGAGAGACAATTAACTATCCTACCATAGAATATTACTATTATTAGGATTGTATTCAGCATTGATTAGGATCCTGCTTCTAGTGGTATGGGTAACTTTTGGCACAATTAGCCATGGTAATCCCGACTCACTAGTACTCCTATCAATAATGCTACTAGCCTTGTACTTCTAGTAAATATAATTGTCATGGTAGAGATCAGGTAATTGCTCCCAATTCAAGACACCAAATTTTACACTTTGTTAAACAAATAAAATAGTGTTTGAAGGTTCAAAGTGACTGTATATTTATTGTAGAATGGCTTATTCGATATAATCGTACCATATAATTCATGAAAAAGTGTTCAAAGTGAGTTATTTCAGCTCAGCAAAGCTACGACTTCTTATGTGTTAAATCTTTTTGATTGAGCAAGAACTTCTAAGGCCTTCATTCCCCTTTGAAAGAATTACAAAAACAAATAGAAAAATAGGTATTCTAATTTCTAAAGCCAAATGCTGTTGGATGGGTCGTTGAAGAGGGAGATAAACCTCCTTTTCTCCTCCAATATATAATTCCACTTGTGAATTATATATTTCTCTCTGGAAAAAACACATAAAATTTGTTCCTAGTACTTATCACTGAAGAATAATAGTGGCTCGACTCCTTAGACTTGGAGGAGAACTTCTTTGCGTGGGCGGTATAAGTACAAAGGCTCTTCGAACTCCCTCTTGTATGAGGTGCGTTGCCATCATCTCTTCCCCTTTTGCCAGGTTATTTCTTTTATTTTATTCCAAAATAAAAGATCCATTTCCTTGAATTTATTTATTTTTTAATATTTTTGAGAATACTGCATTATTTTTTCAGAAAATTATGAGTAGGTATCTTTTAAACTACTTAATTGTGAGAAAATACATTAATTAAAATCTTTTGTAGGTAATCTTTAACTTGAAATGTATTGTAGTTAGGTACTCATCGGCAGATTTTTAAATATTTTATTCATTAAAATACTATTTTCCTTAACTGAAGGCATGTTAGTTTGATAGTCCCATTTTTTATGGGATTTGATTTTTTATATTAATGACTTCATATTTTAAGGGATTAAATATATTTGAAATTCAAAATTATACCACATGGAATATATCTTAATGGCTTAATCCAAATTTTGAATTTATTTTTTTAAAAATTATTTTTTAATATTAAACGACTTTGGTTTTTCTCAAATTCAACAATAGTGTCACTTTGCAATGTTACACTATGATATAACACTGTCATTTATTAAAAATAATATATATAATATATATATATCTGTGTGTGTGTAACATTATGTAATGCATACTATTTAAATTGTGTATGAATCAATTAATGTAATTTTATAATTTTTTTGGTCAGTGATTAAAATGTTAACGAATGTTTTACACTGTCATTTATTACTGTAATGTCACATTTTCGATAATTTGAATTAAAGCGAAGGAAGATTGGTCTCGAGACACGTGGTTTGTCTCTTCGTGGTGGGTTACCATTTTCTCGGCTAGGAAGAGAACGTGTAAATAGTGGGTAAAGACAACTGTGACGTGCTCCCATCAATTCATATTGAGGAGAGACAAGAGAAGGATGTCTATTTGGTTGTAACATTTAATATCCCTAGGTAATTTAATGCATTGGAGATATTTGCAGTGATTCCATTGACCCAAGGGCCAGGTTAATGGTTGTAGGTTTTCCCTCTGGGCAATGCAATACTGGATATGGTCTCGTTGTCAATTCAAACTCTTCCAAAGTATATCTGTACCTATATCTATATTATTTTTAAATGTCAAAAAAAATTTTAATTTTTTATTTTATTTTTAATTATTATTATTATAAAATTAATTATACTCACCTATATACTTTCATCTAAGTTTTTATTTTACCTCTTATTTGACTTTTAACTTATTTTAGATTCTTTTATAATTATTTTTAAATTATTTTGAACTTATTTATTAGTAGTACAATTATCTATATATATATATATATATATATATATATATATATATGAAGAAATAAATTTTTATATATGTTAAATTATTATATACATGTAGTTATCAAGTTTATATTTTATTTTTTTGGCATACAATAATATAATAATATTATAAGGATCGGAAAAATACCTAAATAAATGACAGATTAGTTGCTCAAAAATTTATAGAATAAATGAATAATTAAATTTAGTAATTTAAAATATAAATTAATTATTTGGTACTTAATTTATTATTTAATTTAATTAGACATATAATTCAAATTTGTTATAAAAATAGTATTATTTAAATTTATTTACGTGCAACAAACGTAGTACATTTCTAGTTTCATAAAGTATGCATCACTTCGTAAAAATTAAACTCAATAGACAAAGTTCCTATTTATAATATGATCGGAAAAAAGATAAGTATATTATTGCATATTCAAACCTACAACACAAATTCGATANCCTATTTATAATATGATCGGGAAAAAGATAAGTATATTATTGCATATTCAAACCTACAACACAAATTCGATATTAATATGATCCAAACACGGTTGGCCAGGATGGGGAGAACCGATAATGATTGATTGTTATTCAACACAAATTCAAAGAAATACAGTTGGATAAGACATGACTTGATTAACACTCTTGTCGACTAATCTTGTTGCATCTCACCAAACCTAGAGGCGTGAGAGAGAGGTGATGAGAAGCTATATAAATGCCGCATTTAATTTGTTTTAAAATAGTCATATAATCTGATTTCTTGGCAAGTCTTGTAGCTGATTTTCAAATAGCATTGATTGACATTATCACCATATATAATTTAACACGAAGAAAAATCGGTATTATGTTGATATTTATTATTTTTATAAATATTTATTATTATTATTATAAATATTTTTATCACCGTTATGNACGAAGAAAAATCGGTATTATGTCGATATTTATTATTTTTATAAATATTTTTTATTATTATTATAAATATTTTTATCACCGTTATGAAAATTATTTTTATCATTTTTGTGGTAATTGTGACCAATCAAAATTGATAATTACTGAAATTTTTTCCCTGTACCGTAGCCAAGTGATGATGCAGTCTATTAATGGTTGTAGCATAGCGACTTTTGACTCTTCAAGTCTAATCGAACTTTATTCAGGACGTTGCAGTACCACATGTGTACACCCCCTATGGTAAATTGTGCATGTGAATGTCAGAAGTTAGGGGCGTCAATCCAATCTTATTTTATTGTGTTGTCTCATTTAGTTCAAAAGTATTAGTTAATTATAATTATATCCGATTAACTTAATTTTGATAGGGGTAAGTTTTGAGTTAGATTGAACTATTGGGATTGGTGTTATCATAAGATATGAAGTTTGTTTGTTTGTTTATAGATAGGATCTCGAAGAAAATAAATGATCCATGTGAAGCGCAAATTACATAATCCATTGCTACAAAGGAAAGTTGTGTTATTTACTAAGTAGATTGGATGTGATAAGTTTGTGTTTGGGAGGTGACTTAGCTATGGTAACGAAGGTGTTAGTTGATTCTCCTGGTGAGTTTTCTCTTCTGGCCACTATTGTAGCAGATGTCAAATGCATTATTCATATGTTTATATATTTTTTGGTGTCTACGGTTAGACGTTCAGGAAATTTTGTAACTTGCTAGGGAGGTGAGGTACTATGAGAATATTGATGTATGAGAAAAAAACGACACCAGAATTTTTTGTGTCATACCTTCTTTTAGATTTAACTGTTTAATAGAATGCCTACCATTACATTCAAATAAAAAAAAAACTCATAATTAGATATTTTGACTTTAATTTTAATTTGATGTATTCATAAATTGTATTATGTTCAAGTCGATGTCTACAAATAGTAAATCAAAAAATTATTAAATAATTCCGTTCTTACTATCCAAATTTACCACTCGGAGGTCTCCATTAAACTTAAAATCTTTTTCCTCGAGATGCTACTAAGTTAAGTGGAGTTCATTTTACCCATATATAAATTTATTATTAAATAACGATACCACGTGATAATTAATAATAGTGATGTGGATACTGTTCCACCCAATATTTACTCGTTAAAATGGACATTTCCTCTCTCTACGCACAATTAGCGTGTGTGTGTGCAAGCACGTTTGTACATGTTTCTACTTTTACGAAAGAATATCTTTGAACATAAATGCAATAGGGAATATTATTTTGTAGATAGGGTGAGCTGCTGGCACAGTTTTTGCTACCCTTATATCTTTGTAAGTGCAACAAGATCTGTTCACAGAGGATTTTGTATAGAGGAAAACATTACCAAAAAAAATTATAAAAAGTAAAAAGTTGTACCCTAAAATTAAAAAAAAATTACCTAAAAAGTGATAACTAAACTCAAAACAGTGAGTCTACTCCAGAAGAAGGTGATATAAATACCCAAAAAAGTTATACGGACCGTGGTCAAACCCTTGTACAGATCTTTTTTGTAAATTTTTTTATACCAGCCCGCTAAGTATATAATTTTCATACATAATCATTACTAGCAATATCCCAAGACTAAAGTCATTGTACACTAATCTATAACATTATG